GCTGAGGACCAAATTCAGGGCCTTGCACTTGCCAGGCAAGTGCTCTTCCACAGAGCTAAATCCCTAACCCCATGTATAGAATTTTCAAATTAGCTTTTTTGTTCCTGTTTTACTCTCTATAACCTTACTTAATGACACTTTAAAGGCCTTACAATTTTTCAGGCTGATGTTCATAGAACTTTTTTCATGAGCTTTCAGAATATGGTCATTACTTTTCAGATATTTAAGGACAATATTTAAAAGCCATAAAATGAAGAGTGGGTAATAGTACAGATAATTGCTTAAAACTGAAACCTAAGTTATCAATAGTGTACATCACAGATACGTTTACTGGGATGATATGAATGCAATGACCTGAGGCAAAAAGAATATATATATATTTAATTTTTCCCAGTAAATAAGCTGTAGCTTACTACACTTCCAAAATACACTAGAGCCTTACTTTAACACAATGTACTGTGACTTGGAATTTGTTTTACAATGAAACTACCTTTAATTCCCATGGAAGAAATCATACTCACCAGAAGAACCAACTGTTTTGTATGAATGGTTCTGACTTTTTTTACACCAGAGCTAAGTAGGATCTTAATCTTCAGTGACTGAAGGTCTAAGGCTCATTTAATTATGTCTCTGTAAGATTTTCTTCCTAGGTTTTCCACTTGGTGTTTGTGGTCGTTGGAAATGTAAACAACTGATATATTCATTGTATATTATATTGGCTGACAATTCCTCTTTCTGCCAAATGTACCTTTAGAGAAATATGAAACTGTTTTAATGAGAGTTTAAATCATTTGTGTCATTGTTTTCATACTCAATACGCCAACTTAGGATTCTAAACCTTTTTTTCATCATTAACTTATGTACCACATCTTATTATATCTGTCTTTTCCCCATAAAAATGGTGATGAGATATGTAGATTTTATTTTTTTAAATATGTAACATGACTTTTATTAATACTTTCACAGTTTTCAGAAGTAGAGATACATTCAGAAGGGAAAGTGTTTTAAATTAGATCATTCTTATGTGTCCGTAGCAGTGTACTAAAAGATAAATGGCAAAATTATTATTTAAATATCTACTATTTTTACTTTTTCCTATTATGAACTGAACTAAAATAAAACGTGAGTTGTATGTTTTTAAATTGAGTTATTTCAGTAGTTGCTAGCATCCTAGAGCATTACATTGTTTGTGAACTATTTGAACTTAACCTTAGTATGACTTGAAAATTACCGGGTTACAAATAAGCCATAAAGTTCATTCTGCAGGGCATCAGTGGCTCACGCCTGGAATCCTAGCTACTCAGGAGGCTGAGATCTGAGGATCGTGGTTTAAAGCCATCCCAGGCAGAAAAGTCTATGAGACAAATCTCCAGTAAACTACTCAGAGAAAGCTTGAAGTAGCTCTATGACTCGATGAGTACTAGCCTTGAGCACAAAGAGGCTCAGGAACAGGGCCCAGGTCCTGAGTTCAAAACCCCGGGACCATAAAAATAAAAAAATTCACTCAGAGATTTACCACATGCCACCTATGAGCTTAGAAGTACTTTCAAGATCCTACTGATGGACAGAAATGAAAGACAATGCCTGTCTCTGAAGAGCAACTAGAGTATTTGCTGGGTGCATGAAAAATAGCAATACAAAGCTGTATCTGTTGGTGACAGTGGGGAAGAGGACTAGGGTATGTGAAAGGAAATGGGGCAGGCTAAGGATAAAGGTTTTCCTTAAGGAATTAGCCTTAGGGTAGAGCCAAAGCACAAGGTTTGTTATACATTATAAGCAGAGGCCCTTGTCTGGTTTTCAAATACTCTTTCATTGAATGATGAAGCAATTTATATGCAGACTTAAAATTCAGTGAGAACACTCTTCAAAAGCTTGTTCTTAGCAGAAAGCAATGGCTTCTGTTAAGAGTGAACAAGGATGGAAAAGCCACATTTTATGAGACTAAAACATGCACTATCCCCTACATGTATATCAGGACATGGCCATGTTTAGTTCTACTTCAATGTCAAAATGTGTCTCAGCACTGCCTGAATTGTGTGCCACACATGATTTTGGTGTGCCTTTTGATCCCTTATATTAAGATTCATGTTTTACCATAAGCATCACTTATTTTGATTCGGCTCTTTCTCTTGCCTTGATTCTCTGCTTTAGCTCAGGCCCAAAGTTATACCAATCAGTTATAGACTGCAACCTCTATAAAATTATAAGCCAAAATAAATCTTTTGTTCCCTTTAGTTGTTTATCTGAGGTATTTTGCTAACATGGGCAGTAACATTAACATTATAGAATTCTAAGTTGCAGAATATCTTTCCTCAGCACCTTGGCAATGCTGACATCCAGCACTTACATTCTTGAAAATCTGGATTTCCCTTACTCTAAGTAACCAGCTCATTCATCCTTTCCCCCTGTCTCTCTACCTCTCCGGTTCCTTTTTTTCCCTTAATTTAAAATTTCCACTGATTTTGATGTGTATGGAACTACAGCAAAGCATGAAAAATGAACTGGCTGCCAATTTTTCTTGCAATGGATCACTTAGTCTGGTGAAGCTGTGGGACTTTTCTTTGCTTACCAGTCTTTGAGTCTTTTTTTTCTTTTTCTTAGTAGTACTAAGAATTGAACTCATGGCCTTGAGCTTGGTAGGCCAGTGCTCTACTTGCCGGCTGCAAAGTTTTGTAACGACACAAAACAGATAGTGGTGAACAAATTGTCTTAAGCACAAAATATATTCTTTGAAAGACAAAAAAAAATGGAAATGCAAGTCACAAATTTATTTATACTTGCAATATAGCCACACACCTACAGCTCCAGCCTATAAGCTTAGCTACTTAGGAGACTGAGATTTGAGGATAGTGGTTTGAAGCCACCCAGGCAGAAAGATTGTGTGGCTTATCTCTAATTAACTACCAAAAAGCTGAAAATGGATCTGTAGCTAGAGTGCCAGCCTTAAAGTACAAAAACTCAGGGGAGGGGTTGGGAAGGTGGCTCAGTGGTAGAGCTCTTGCCTTGCATGCATGAGGCCCTGGGTTCGATTCCTCAGCACCACATAAGCAAAAAGAAAAAAAGCCGGAAGTGGCGCTGTGGCTCAAGTGGTAGAGTGCTAGCCTTGAGCTGAAGAGCTGAGGGACAGCACCCAGGCCAAGAGTTCAGGCCCCACGACTGGACCAAAAAAAAAAAAAACTCGGGGGATGCCTAGGTCCTAAGTTCAGGCCCTCGGACGAACACGCACGCACGCACATCCTTAGAATACATATTTAGATTTAAGAAAACTGGACATGATTTTTTAAATTGAGCTTCAAAATATACTAACAGTAAGAAGACAACCCCCAAAATGGTAGACATTTTTGTAAATTATATCTGGTTAGCTCTTATATCCAAAATATGTAGACATTTTACAATTTAAGATTATCCAATAAAAATAGACAAGAAATTAAAGCAGCCTCTTCTTCAAAGACATTGGAATAGACAATAAGAACACTAAAAGGTATTCGATATCATTAGTCATCAGGGGGAGATACAAATTAAATCACTAAAACAGAGTTTTAACAACAACCAACAATACCAAACATAGGTGAGGATGTTCAAAAAGCAGAACTCATTGGGCACCGGTGGCTCACGCCTGTAATCCTAGCTTTTCAGGAGGCTGAGGATCACGGTTCAAAGCCAGCCCAGACTGCCAGAGAAACTTAATCTCAAATAAACCACTAAAAAACCAGAAGTGGTGCTGTGGCTCGTGGTAGAGTGCTTACCCTGAGCTGAAGAGTGCAGGGACAGCACCCAGACCCAGAGTTCAAGCCCCATGACCGAACAAAAAAAAAAAAAACAACCTCTCATAATGCTGGTGGAATGTAAATGTACAATCACTATGAAAAAAATACACTTGCATTTCTTACAAAGCAAAATATGTACAATTAGCCATCTAACTCAACAATTCCATTCCCAAAGATTTTTTTTCAAGAGAATAGATGCAAGAATCGTGAGCGTTTGTAGCAGCTTTACTCATCGTACTTGGGGACAACTCACTTATCAACAGGTGAATGGACAAAAGAGTTATATAGTTTTACAACAGGAAGTGGAGCTGTGGCTCAAAGTGGTAGAGCACTGGCCTCGAGCGAAAAAGCTCAGGGACAGAGTCCAGGCTCTGACTCCAAGCCTCAGGACAGAAATTAAGAATACCACTCAACAAGAAAAAAAAAAAAATGGCCTATTAGTACACACAGTAACATTTCTGGTGAATCTCAGAAACTTCCTAACTGGAAGAAGCCAAACACGGCAGCACATGCTGTGTCATGTGAGAGATTTTTTTTTTTTAATAAAACAGGTTATTAATCTACTATTGTATCTGAGTGTTGGAGGTCTGTGGCGTCCGTACTGCAAGCTCGCCGGGGTGTGTTCGACGGCTGCTCGCCTGCTTGCACGTTCCCATGTCCAGTGGCGGATAGGGCTGGGTTCCACACCGGGGTCCATCCCAAGGCCTCCAGGCCAGAAGCCTCCTGGTTCCTTGACACTTGGGACTTGCCAAAGACAGCTCATGAAGGAGAAAGCAAGAGGCAAGCCAGCCTTCGTTAAACGTCAGCTAGAAAGGGAAATGGGCCCTTTTTGCGACATTGTTTTCGTTGTAATGACTAAATACAGCTCACCTTTAAGGGACCTGAAGGCCAGGAGATGGGATCAAGCTCCATAAGTCGTCGAAAGCCTTTTCACTGTTATACCAAATTATGGGGGCTGAATGGAAAGGGATAATTGGAGCGTTGTGGGGTCTTGCTGTTTTGTTTTTTTCGGTTTGCAAAAGCCGAGGACAGAGGCCCTTGACAATCTGGGGTCCACGTCGGTCTCGCCTCCCACCACGCGGAAGCCAGCCCGACATCCGGGAACTGGAGCGCTGCCTCCTCCTCCTCCTCCACCACCCTGGCCGCGGTGGGCGTGGCAAAGCCAGGCCCGAGATTCTCACGGGCTCCGAGATCTGCTCGGGAAACCCCTGCGGGGCTCATCTCTGACGCACTTCCGGAGCGCGGGCGCAGGGAATCCGGCGGCGGCTGCCTGGGATCCGGGAGCAGAGGCATGGTCCTCACCAGGTCTTCCCGGCGTGAGGCCGGGGTTTCAGGCCCTTCGGCCGGAGGATCCCGACAGAAGGTAGGAGCTCTTGCCTCCCCCGAGTTTCTTGCCCTCTGTAGACCGGCCCTGAGGCCAGCGGGGCGGCAGCAGAGCCGGCGGTGAAGGAACGCGTGGACCGGGCGGGATCAGGCCTGGCTGGACCAGGCCGTAGCCTGTGCAGGGAACTTTACTCCTCCGTGCTGGGTACGGAAGAGAAGCGCAATGATGCCCAAGTGACCAGACCCCCCCTAGTGCAGGCGCACTGTGGACACCCTGCCACGCAAGATGACTTCCGGCCGCCACGCCTGGGCCCACGGCTGGAAGCCGCTGGCGGCGGCCTCACATCCACTTGTTAACGTTGTGTGGGGGCGGCTCTCTGCCTCAGTGGCCCTAGCCTGCTGTAGTGCCGTTCCCCGCGTTACACGATAAAGGGTCTCCGGAATGAAAATGAATGTGGCTTTGATTTACTGCTTTTTGTTTTGTTAGTGCCCTGTTAACTGCTTATGAGGGACTGCCTCATTTGCTTTGTTTAACTCAACCTTTTCTTTGAGGGGGAGAGGGTCGGGGTCGGTCGTGGGGGCTTGAACTCGGTCTGGGCGCTGCCCCTCAGCTCTTCAGCTCAAGGTTAGCACTCTACCACTTGAGCCACAGCGCCACTTCCGGCATTTTCAGGTGGCTAATTAGGGATAAGAGTCTCACGAACTTTCCTGCCCGGGCTAGTTTTGAACCAGGGTCCTCAGATCTCAGCTTCCTTAGTAGCTAGGATTACAGGCGTGTACCCGGTTTAACCCAGCCTTAATTAGTGTCTTCTTTGGCTTGTAGAGTTCTGCTGCTGAAGAAATTCAAGCACATGCAAAAAGAAGGAAGGAACCTAGTTATGATGGCCTTACTGCTGAGGTTACAAAGAGCGCTGGGAAACAAAGTTCATCTAACAGAAACAGGCAGAACAAAACTTCAGGCTTACAGACAGAGGTCATTGAATTGTCTACAGATGGAGAGACCTCTGAAGCCGAATCCAATTGTTCTTCTGTGTTTGAGGTCCAGGAGCCCATTGTAAGAATAACTAGGAGAAGGCAGATCATAATTGCATCTTCTCCAGGTTCCAGTGTTAGAAAGAGAAAGAAAATAGCTTCAATAAAAGTGCCTCTTACTGAAGAAATAGTCTCCGACACAGAGTCTCCTGCTTCATCTACTTCTAGTATAGTGCCTTCCACAGAAATAAGGGCTAAATCTAGAATAGATCCAAGCCAAGAAGCACATACAGGAGCTGTATCTGATGCTGAGTCATCATGCTCAGATATTTTATTCTCTGGAAATATACCAAGAACAGCAATCAAGAATATGCAGAGAAACTTACAGGTACAAATAGAGAAGAAAGATACTAAGACTGTATCCCAAAGTGAAAAACAAATCATGGATACATCTATGAGTTCAGAGGATCTAGATACCAAGAATACCTCTCAGTTATCAACAAGAACACTTTCTCAGATAAATAAGCCGATTGTCTGTAATGAAACAGAAGAAAAACAGGCCAATGTTGTCTCTCTTAAAGAAATAAAGAATTTGAATGAAGCGGACATAGTAGTGATAGATGATGAAAAAGAAATTAACAAGAAAATTTCTCAGATGAAGAACCTTTCTAATCTTCAGAAAACTAGCCTTCAGCAGTTAAGTTCTCAAATGCATTCATCCCCCTCAAAAAACAAAACCATAGTAAAGCCCTCCAATCAGAACTGTGAGGCTATAATGAAATCATTAGCTCAAAAATTTGCAGTTGTGGAAGTGGACAGATGGAATGAAGGAAAAAAAGGCAACATAAAAGGAAGTGACTTGACCACATTCAGTGATCTTGGTGGTAGTGATAAAGATGAAGAGGTTATAGGTGTAGATGGTGGTGGTGCTGGTAAAGAGGATGAGTTGACAATTGTAGATGTCAGTGAAGACAAGAATAGCAAAGGGGATGTAGATTTTGAATGTGATACCACATTGTGTAACTCTGAGCTAAACACGTCTCCGGATATTGGGGATTCTGTTTTACTAGTTCTCAGCAGTGATGAAAGCCAGCAATCTGAAAGCAGTGACAATGAAGAGGACACTCTGTGTTTTGTTGATAATTGTGACCAAAAGGAGTCACCGAGTGGAGACTCAAAAAACTTGTCTTGTGATAATGCCTTGTTCGTAATTGACACGACTCCTGGGTTAAGTGCTGATAAAAAGTTTTACTTGGAAGAAGAAGAGAAGGCAAGTGAGATTGCTACTGAGGAAGAAAAAGAAGAGCAGGAAGAAGATGAAGGCAGTGAAGAATCATCAGATAGTGATAAAAATAAAGATGATGAATTTAGTGATGAAGACGATTTATTAAATAACACAAAGTCTAAACTGTAAGTTTCATCTTTTTTTGGAGGGGGTAGGGGGGATCCGGTCGTGCGGCCTGAACTCTGGGCCTGGGCGCTGTCCCTCAGCTCTTCAGTTCAAGGCGAGTGCACTACCGCTTGAGCCACAGCGCCACTTCTGGTTTTCTACTGGTTTATTGGAGATAAAGAGTCTTATTCCTGCTGGGGCTGGCTTTGAACCGTGATCCTCAGATCTCAGCTTCTTGAATGGCTAGATTACAGGCATGAGCCACTGGTGCCCAGCTTATCCCCTTTCTTTTTAAAAGCAAATTGGAGGGCTAAGAGCAAGGCTCGTAACAAGTGCAAGTCATGAGTTCAGATCTAGTACTGCCAGAAAAAAAAAAAAACTGGACAGAGAAGCCTTCTTGCATGAAGAGCATTGAGCTACACCCACCCACCTGCCCTCGCAAACATACACCAAAGTAAGTTTTTGTTGTTTGGGTTTTTTTTTTTTTTTTTGGTCTGGTCGCGGGGCCTGAACTCTGGGCCTGAGCGCTGTCCCTCAGCTCTTCAGCTCAAGGGTAGCACTCTACCACTTGAGCCACAGCGCCATTTCTGGCTTTTTTCTTTTTTGCTTATGTGGTGCTGAGGAATCGAACCCAGGGCCTCATGCATGCAAGGCAAGAGCTCTACCACTGAGCCACCTTCCCAGCCCCAAAGTAAGTTTTTGATGTATTTGTCAAGTGGCGGATTTAACATGAAAATAGGATATAGTAGAAAAAAATGAGAAGCAAGAAAGTTGCTCCCTTGGCTCTGTTACGGAAGAGCAGTTCTACTTAACCTTCTACCCTCACTCTTTGGGGATTTGGTCATGGGGCTTGAATTCTGGACCTGGGTGCTGTCCAGCTCTTCAGCTCAAGGCTAGTGCTCTACCACTTGAGCCACAGCGCCACTCAAAACTTAACTTTTAACAGCCAATCCCTCTCATGTCCAAATGTACATTTCAGAATCACTGCGATGGCACTGCAATAGAGTGATTTCAGTTACCAGTAAAGGCTGGTTATGCTTTCAACTATTCAGTTTACATGAATAAAAAGGGAAATAAGTGATTTTAAGTCTTGAGTGTCCTTGCTTATTTAAAAAAAACAATCCCTTTGAAGCAAGGATCAGTGGTTCGTGTCTGTAATCCTTGCTACCCTGGAGACAGATCCAAGGATCATGGTTCAAAGCCAGCCTGGGCAGGAAAGTCCATGAGACTTTTCCATTAAGCCACAAACAGCCAGAAGTGTGGGTATGGGAGGGAAAAACTGGGAGAGAGTGAGATAGTGACACTGCCCAAAAAGAAATGTATTCTTTATCTGACTTACGTATCTGCAACCCCTCTGTACATCACCTTTAAAATAAAATTTTTTAAGCCAGAAGTAGAACTAAAGCTTAAGGGGTAGAGTGCTAACCTTAAGCACAAAAGCTCAGGGACAGTGCCCAGGCTGAGAGTTTAAGCCCCGAGAATGGAATTTAAGGGAAAAAAATTGCTTTGGGCCAGGCACTACAATTCATCCCTGCAATCTTAGCTACTCAGGAAGCTGAGAGTGAGGATTATGGTTCAAAGCCAGCCCTGCAGAAATGTCTATTAGACTCTTTTTTTTTTTGCCTTGAGCAGGGAAAGATCCCAAGCCCTAGGACTAGCGAAAAAGGAAAAAAAATCCCTTTGATTATATAAAGATAAATTCTTATCACATAAATTTAGTGGTAGTCTAGACTTTCCAAGTTTCATAACTTGGAAAGTGTTATCTTTCCAAGAACTTATCTTTCTTACTTGTTTTAGAGGTAAAGATGAACCTATAGATGAATTTGAACTGATGTGCCAGGTACACTCCCTGTTAGCAACCCCTCTCCACCCTTTTTCTTTTTTGACTGGTTTTAAGGTTTGAACCCAAGGCCTCATGCTCTGGTTCAGCTTTCATGCACTTAGCTGGCGCCCTACACTTGAGACACGCCTGTAGTCTGGCTTTTTTTTCTAGCTAATTGGAGATGGAGTCTCAATGTCTTTGCTGCCTGGTCTGGCTTCAGACAAATCCTCCAGGTCTCAGCTTCTTGAGAAGCTAGAATTACAGGTCAAATCTCCTATGAAATCTACTGCATATTATATGGCCTAATGTTTTAGAAGATCTGAGGATCACACTTAGAAATCAGCCTGGACAGGAAAAAAATCCCTGTGAGCCAGGCACCGCTGGCTCACGCCTATAATCCTAGCTACTCAGGAGGCTGAGATCTGAGGATCATGGTTCAAAGCCAGCCCAGGCAGGAAAGACCATGAGACTTTTATCTCCAATAAACCACTAGAAAACTGGAACTAGTTCTGTGGCTCAAGCAGTAGAGCGCTCACCTTGAGCTGAAGAGCTGAGGGACAGTGCCCAGGCCCAGAGTTCAAGCCCCACGACCGACAAAAAAAAAATCCCTGTGAGATTTTTATCTCCAATTAACTACTCAAAAACTGGAAGTGACACTGTGTTTAAGTGGTAGAACACTAGCCTTGAGCACAAAGAGTCTCAGGGACAGTGCCCAGTCCCTGAGTTCAAGCCCACAACCAACCAAGAAAAAAATCTGAGGAATAGGTTTGGATGAGTTCCCAATAAGTATTTTTGTTTACTTGTTTAGGTCATTATATATCCTAGAGTTTCTTCTAAATGCATGTACTGACTTAAGATATATATTTACCCAGTTTTTCAGTAACTTCAAAAATAAGTATCTTTTTTTTTGTCATTGACAGTGAAGAGCTGAACAAGTAATTTTTCTTATTTTAGGTGCCAGTTCTCAGCTTTTAATTGGGACACTGTTGCTGAGCTTTTTTCTCTGTCTGCCTGCCTGCCTTTTTTTTGTAGTTAATTGGAGATGAGTCTCATGGACTTTCCTGCCCAGGCTGGTTCAAACCACAATCCTCAGATCTCAGCCTCCTGAGTAGCAGGACTTACAAGAGTGAGCTACCTGTGCCTGGTGTGATTTTTTTTTCTTTCTTTCTGTAATGCAGTCTTGTTTCTATTTTGATTTTTTTACTTGATATTTAAGTGATCATTTCTCTTTCAGTCTGAAGTTGACAAGTAGCAGCATAGATCCTGGACTAAGTATCAAGCAAATGGGTGGTTTGTATATTAATTTCAATGCAGACAAACTACAGTCCAAGAAAACTCTAACACAGATCAAAGAGAAAAAGAAAAATGAGGTAAGTTATATGAAGTGTCTTTTCTTTAGAAATGGTTAGTCCTTTGATAAAAGATTCATTTTCCTATAGTAAACCACATTAGCCTAATGTTTTTGTTTTTATTTGTCCATCTCACTTGAACAGTCGCTTTTTTAAAGAATGAATTTATCTATGAGAAATTACATCTGAAAAATTAACTCAAGATCAGGATTTCTAGCCGGGTGCTGGTGGCTCATGCTTGTAATCCTAGCTACACAGGAAGCTGAGATCTGAGGATCATGGTTCAAAGCCAGCTCGGGCAGGAAAGTCCATGAGACTCTTATCTCCAGTAAACCACTAGAAAACCGGAAGTGGGTGCTATGGCTCAAGTGGTAGAGTTCTCCCCTTGAGCAGAAGAGCGCAGGAACAGCGCTTAAGCCCAGAGTTCAAGCCCCACCCCCGAAAAAAAAAAAAAGATCATTTCTTTTCTTGTACCCCCTAGTGATGATCCAAGGTACTCTTTTTTCTTGCTATATTTTCAGAACTTGTTCTGTACTCTTGAAATCTGAAAGCTTTAAGTGCCTTCCTCTTCCACCTAAAAAAAAAAATATGTATGTGCAAATAGCAATAAAATTTTACATATAGGCTATGTGTAGTGGCTCATAAATGTAGTTAGTCTCAGCTGTTCAGGAGGGTAGCAATTCAAGCCCAGATTATACAAAAAGTTAGACTCCATGTAATCAGTAAGCTGAGTATGGTGGTGCATGCCTATCATTTCTACTGTTTGAGAAGCATAAATAGGGTCATGGTCCAGGTAGGCTTTATGGGATAAAAACATAAATATGTGGGTATTACTAGCAAAAAGGGGCAGGGTTGTGGCTCAAGTGGTAGACTACCTGCCTAGCAAAAGGGAAGAGGAGGCCCTAAGTTCAAACACCAGTAGTGAAAAAAAAATGGATGGACAGATAGATAGATAGATAGATAAATAGATAGATAGATAGATAGATAGATAGATAGATAGATAGATAGATAGATAGATAGATAGATAGATAGATAGATAGATACTTGTTAGAGTAATCTTAATTTTTAGTTATGGCCAGTATCTTCTCCTTTCTCCCAGATAAACATTTTTTTTTTTTATTGTTATTGTAAAAGTCATGTACAGAAGGGTTAGTTACTAAGTCTTTTTGGACATTGTCATCTCTTCCCTCAACTTTGTCAGATCTGTATTTTCTAGTCTTGATGACTTCAGACTTTAGGATCCAGGTAACCATTTGTGCATTTAGAAGTGCATTTCTTCCCTGCCTAAACTAGCCATTTCTGTATTCTCTGCCAGTTACTGACACCAAAGTCTTTCCCTTGTGCAGTCAGTCACCCAGCTTTGGAAATGCCTTCTCCTTTTTTTGAGCCACTACACCTTTAATTCTCATCAAGTCTATTCCAGTAATCTCTTTATGGGTCTTGCTTTTGTTTTCTTTTTTTTTCTCCTCCATGCTTCTCAGTTTCTCTCTAAAAACAAATTTGACATCATATTCTGCCTAATTCCTTCCTGGAACCACTGTACTGATAGCAGTTTTGTAAGATATAAATGACTGTTGCCAAAAAAAAAAATGCAACCATCAAGAAACTGATCAACCAATCTGACCATACAAAATGTAAAAACATAAATGGGAAATTATATAAAACCCAATTTTATATCTTTATAGCTTCTGCAGAAGGCTATTATTACACCTGATTTTGAACAAAAACATTGTGTTGCACCATATAGAGAATCAAAGCATCAACTTCAAAAAAAACGGAGGGTAAGTACAATGACTTCTACTATCTAAATTTATATGAGCTTGGATATCTATTTTCAGATTGTACACCAACTACATCTGTGTATTGATTTATCTATAAATACTATTACAGATTGCTCCAGGCTATAGTCCCATCAACACAGGTAGGCTGGATTTTCACGTTTTTGTGACACTGAGCTACATTCCTAGCTCTACAAATCGTAGCCTTTTAATAATATACCTTGAAAGCAGTGATAGCCCCTGTATAGGCTTCACTGTCCACAGTGCCAGTAGGTGCTAATAGTGCTAGTAGACTGACAACTGTGAGAAGTGCCAAGTTATCGAGGGCACTTGGAGGCATTTGAAGATGGTACCTTAGTACCTAGTACCATTGATGTGTATAGCACCCTGGTGCACGGTTAGCCAGCCATTCAGTAATTTATGAATGAAACAAGATAAATTATTGGCTGTGAGTTTTCAAACGAGTAAGTTTTTGTTTGAAAAATAATAACTTCTAGGTTGAAGAGACATCTAAGTAACTGAATAAAAATGTTAATACTTTTGCATATAAGCTCCTGGAATAAAAATATCTTTGTAAATTATCTGTACTATGGGCCATTATTAACAATAAAAATTCAGCCTTGTTATTTTCTCAGCAAGTTTTCAGTTCCAGTGCAATACAAAATAGATTTTAAGGATTCATTTATGAAAACTGATAATGCTATATCATTGTTATTATCAATGCTATTATCAAAGAAATTTTTGTTTAATTCCTTTGATAAATATGATTTTAGAGCTGTAACTCTAAAGTAACTTTTTAATTCATGAAGCATTCTGTGTAATTTTTGAGGAAATGAATTACATGTACTTTTTAAATTATTGAAATTAGAATGTTTTTGAAATCTGAATTTCAGAAAGAGCGACAAAAAACAGCAGGTGATGGCTGGTTTGGTATGAAGGCTCCAGAACTAACAGAGGAACTGAAAAATGACCTCAAAGCACTGAAGATGAGAGCAAGCATGGACCCAAAAAGATTTTATAAGAAAAATGATAGAGACGGCTTCCCTAAGTACTTCCAGGTATGAAGCAAGCAGAAGAGTGGCTGTGTTCTTTGGGTTTTCCTTTGGAAAGCAGCATAGTGATCTGTTTAATGTTAAAACAGATCAGTTTAGGAAGTGGCACTGTGGCTCAAGCGGTAGAGCGCTCACCTTGAGCTGAAGAGCTGAGGGATAGCGCCCTACCCCAGAGTTCAAGCCCCACGACCAACCAAAAAAAAACAAAAAACAGATAAGTTTATATATGTATACCGGACCTAAATGACCAAAACACAGTTCAGAGAGATCAATCTTGTAGTGGGTTGTCAATACAGAGTGACAGGGTTAAGCCAGGCACCGATGGCTCATGTCTGTGATCCTAGCTACTCAGAAGGCTGACATTTGATAAATACAGCTCAAAGCCAGCTCAGGCATGAAAGTTTGTGAGACTCTTTTATCTCCAATTAACCATCAAAAATCCAAGCTGGGTGCTGGTGAATCATGCCTGTAATCTGAGGATTGTGCCCATCCTTAGCAGGAAAGTCTATGAGCCTCTTCTCTCCAGGTAATCACAGCAAAAGCCAGAAGAGGCACTGGCTCAAGTGGTAGAGTGCTAGTCTTAAGTTCAGGAGCCCAGGGACAGTGCCTAGGCCCTGAGTTCAAGCCTTACTACCAGCTCACACATACAAAAAAAAAAAAAAAATGACAAAACAAATTCTGGCAAATGTAGTTAGCTTGTGTGTTCTGTTCCTATCTGTATTATTCCTTTCTACATTATGAGAATTAAACTGAAATATGGAGGCAACTTGTCATTCAGATATTGCATGACTTACCTCAGTCGACTGTTCACAGATTGGAACCATTGTTGACAATCCAGCTGATTTCTACCACTCAAGAATTCCCAAGAAGCAAAGGAAAAGAACTATTGTGGAAGAACTGCTGGCTGATTCTGAGTTCAGAAGGTAATGGAATTTATATTTCATTTTACAGTGGGTACTTTTTCTTTGAAATATGCGTAAATACAAATTTTCAGGATAAAAATAGTGAATTATTTGTTTAAAACTCATTATACATTGATATGAATATATAGTTTGATCAAAACAAAAGTAATATACTACCAATCTCTCTAGTGTCTGCCACAGTTAGGGCAAGTAGAGCCTCACCTGTCTCTGCAGGCAGCCTGGGGGAAACAGCACTGCACATGCAGCAGAGGATCAAGGGAGACAGGCAGCCGTGCCTAGGGTTCTTAAGAAAATTGTCTTGAAAGGCTCTTGTCTACTATCACACATTACAAACGATTGGTCTACAATGTTTTGTAAGGTTCTAAGAAACATATCATCACTGTGTTTTTGTAAACTGTTTTGCTATGTCCTTCTTACATTTTGCACTCCAACATTTACATCCCTATTTAACATCACCTGGTAAGTGAGTCTTTAAATCACTAGGAAGACAAGGAAGAACTGCCTTGTCCACTGTTCTATCCTTAGCTCCTGCCACAGGTCCTCCCAACACATGATGGCAACGTAGGGAAAACATTTAGAACCCCTAAGGGTATGTGAATTTCTAATGTCTATTGTACTGTGCTGTAAAACACCAACATACAATCTTTCTTTTCAGATACAACCGAAGGAAGTACTCTGAGATCATGGCTGAAAAAGCAGCAAGTGCAGCAGGCAAAAGATTCCGAAAGAAGAAGAAATTTCGCAATTAAGATTCATCAAGCAAAATACAATATTGGACATTTCTCTTTATTTGCTAAATATATTTTTAAAACTAACACATCACGTAATTTAATACAGATGCTGTTTGTATAGGGATTTATTTGGAAATAAGCCCTGTATTATAGTCTTGGACAAAAAAATTTTTGATAGTACTGGAGATTAGACACAGGGTCTTGCTTACACAAGGCAAGTACAAAGCAATCACTCATTTGCTTATTTATTTTTATTGGCTTATAATAATTGTACAGAGGGGATTTCATTACTATGTCTCCACACAATTACACTATATGACCATCAGTCTTTCCCCCTCTATCATTCCCTGCCCCCCTTAAGAAACAGTATCTCCCAACAAGTTTCCTTGTTTCATACAAAGCACTTTTAAAACAATCAACATGACTACATTCAGAGCCGAGAGGGAACAGACAATATGAAGACAGAGGTACCAATCTTTTTATCCCATTTTAGTCACTTGGTGTTTTCAGATCCAGTGAGTTGTTTTAGCCAGGTAACCTGAAAACTCTCTAACATGAGGGTTATAGCAAGATAATGGAAGGCTGTGCGTTGCTTACCCCTGTGACCTCCAAAATTGGCAATTGTATGATTTTTTTCTCTGATGTAGGAATTGATTCTAGAGCATTTATGCAATGGGCTTTTAGTAACTATTCCTCCTTTTCTTTGTTACTGTGTAACCATCTTGAACTGTACTAGTCATAAAGAGTTCCTAGTCTGAACACTCTGGCCTTCTGGCTTAATCTGGTCTTTTTAACAAAGTTCTTGTAAGCCTACTTTTAATGAGTAACAAAGAAGGCCCAGGGTTTATTTCCCTTGCTGTGGTCCCTACCTGTTTCAAACCACTGAAAGGATGAGCCAGAATTAATTCTTCCTTTTAGGGTTTTTATCTAATATTTTGTCACAGTCACAGAAATATTCCTTAAACCATCATCCTAGTTGGATGTGAAATGTTATCACATGGCTGTGAATTGGAAGACTATTTTAAACAGGCAATTCAATAAGATTGAGTATAACTTAATTTTAAATATCAAATATACAAGTAACCTATTAAGAGAATTGAAGAAAAGATTTCAACAAAAGATGGTTTCACTAAGCAAAGGTAACCAAAAAACACTAAGATAGATATGAAGAAAAAGTAACATGAATGCTGCTGCTTTTTAGAACATTTAACAGTTCTCCCCTATATTAGTCTACAAATAACATGATTCTAGTGGACACTTGCTAAGTGTTGAATCAGACTAGCTATGAGTAATATGTGGAAATTGTGGATTTACTCAGACATCCACCTTTCTAGCTTCCTATCCAGCTTAATGCTTACTAGTTATATATCTTTGGTGTGTTTGATATTTGAGATGTTCTTGCAGGACAAAAACTGGTCCTCCCAGCTCATGAGTGGGTGGGTGCATATGGTCACACCATCTCACATAGCTGTGCCTCCTGGGACTGCTGTTAAGTATTCCAATTATTAGTAAAATTGAATAACAGGCAAGGAAAACGTTCTTTTAGAAAAGGTAATGAGGAGGCTGGGAAGGTGGCTCAGTGGTAGAGTGCTTGCCTTGCATGCATGATGCCCTGGGTTCGATTCCTCAGCACCACATAAGCAAAAAGAAAAAAAGCCGGAAGTGGCGCTGTGGCTCAAGTGGTAGAGCGCTAGCCTTGAGCTGAAGAGCTGAGGGACAGCGCCCAGGCCCAGAGTTCAGGCCCCACGACTGGACACAAAACAAAACAATACAGAAAAGGTAATGAGGGGCTGAGAATGTGGCTTAGTGGTAGAGTGCTTGCCTAGCATGCATGAAGCCCTAGGTCCAATTCCTTAGTAGCACATAAACAAAATGCTGAAAGTTGTGCTTTGGCTCAAGTGGAAGAGTGCTAGCCTTGAGCAAAAGGAATTCAGGGACAATGCCCGGGGCCCTAAGTTTTAAAACAGCAAATTCAAGAGTTCAGACATTAACAGAATATAGAACCTCATGCATGTAGGAATTAATCATAATGTTGGCAATTAGTATAGAAAAGGTTTCTCCTTCCAGCCCATTGATTGCTGGGACAAAACTTGCCTGAAATAAAAATACATTTAATAAGTACAGTATGATTGTCAGACCTAGAAGCAAGGAAAGACTGACAAGTCTAAATTTATGAGTGTATTGAAAAATAACCATAAGCAAAATCAGAAAACAGATTAAAAGAATTTTAATGCCACAAAGAGCTATTTTCCTTAACGTGTTAAAAGGACACTGCAAACCAGTAAGAAAATGTCATCTTAGTAGGTGTGAATGACAATAGAGAAATGAGCACAACTAAAGAACAGATAAGTCAGAAAAAAGTCCAAATTGCCCTATGTATGAAAAGAAGCTTAGGAAGTGGCGCTGTAGCTCAAGCGGTAGAGTGCTCGCCTTAAGCTGAAGAGCTGAGGGACAGCGCCCAGGCCCAGAGTTAAGCCCCGACCGACCAAAAAAAAAAAGCTTAGTTTCTCTCACAAATGCCATGAATCAAAAACTGCAACTAGAAACCATGGGGCAGCAGTCTCACCTCCCTCTGACGACAGTTGAAGGGTGCTGAAACACAGCTGCCAGCCAGCCATAGCAGTGTCCCAAAAACTACTCACTGTGTACAACTATGTAAAAACTAGGTTGTTTACTTGGAAATATTCCTATAGGAAAATAATAGACATTATGGATGTCCGTTTAGATGTTAATCTAACATACTGAAATAAGCATAGCATACTGCTGTCTTAAAAGGGTACATATTACATTATTAAAAGCACCACGTACACAATAACACAACAGAAAAAATTACTGATAACATGCCTTAAAAAATAGCCAGGTGCTCAGGTTAAAGCCTGTAATCCTAGGTTTTCAGGAAGCTATATAATGTGGATACGGACCGGACGGGATGGATAAACAGTAAGGGGAGCGCTGACATTGTCTGATCAAAATGTGCTCTTTACCTGACATAAAACAGTAATCGCTCTCTGTACATCACCTTTATACTAACAATTTTTTAAAATAAAAAATTTAAGAAGTCAAAGTATACCGGCTTGCGGAAGAAATATGGCCAAAAAAAAAAAAGGCTGGAATATGGCAAAACAAAACAGAGGCATTTACTTCTCCCTGCACCTTTCCTGACAGTTTTGGATTTTGTGTCTTGCATAAATCACCTTTTTCATTGTTAGAATAATTTTTTTTTTTTTTTTGCTAGTCCTGGGACTTGAACTCTGGACCTGGGCGCTGTCCCTCAGCTCTTCAGCTCAAGTCTAGCACTCTACCACTTGAGCCGCAGCACCACTTGCTGCTTTTTCTGTGTATGTGGTACTGAGGAATCGAACCCAGGGCTTCCTGCATGGTAGGCCAGCCCCCTAAGCCACCGTCCCGGCCCTGTTACAGTGATTTTTCAATATGATTTAATTTTTTGAATTAAGGTTAACAGAAGGGATGGCCATTTCCTAAGTCAGGCACCGTATGATTCTTTTTGGACGGTGTCACCCTGTAATTCCGTTCTTTCCTTGTGTTATTCGCATCTAATGCACCCCCAAACCTGAGCAAAGCCAAGAGCTGTCCGAGAAAGGACCAAACAGGGATTCCTGCCTCGATTTGACCGCAGGCAGACGGACCCCGGGAGCCTGGGTGCGCTGGGCCGGTGGAGGACGGGGAACGGGGGCCGACCTGACTAAAACGGCGGGCACTGGGGTCCGGAGCGGCCGCCGGGAACCGACCTTTCCGGCCGGGCCTCTGGGCCCGGGACTGCAGTGTCGGCTGACCCACTGTCGGGCTCCGAACCAGAGATGCGGGGCTCCCCCGCGCTTCCATCCAGGCCCACACCTGAGGCCCGCGTCGCTGACACCTCCTTTGCCTCCGCGCCTCCACCGCCGCTTCCGGGGACCTGGATCGGCACCGACCGGACCGGGCCGGGACTGCAGAAGGAGCACAACGAATGCAAGGGAGGTGAGAGCTGGAGACGGAGGCGAGAAAAACAAAGGCCGGAGAGACAGGAGGCCATCGGGGTGGAAAAGACATTTAACACGGGTTGCAAAAACATCACGACTCCGCCGGGACTCGAACCCGGAACCTTTGAATGCCTTCAGCCTCTAGAAGTCCAATGCGCTATCCATTGCGCCACGGAGCCACCTGTTGGAGTTTCCGCGCAGCTGCCGTGTTAAGCCAGAGGCTACGGCCCCGCGCCCTGCCCACCGCCCCCACAGCCGTCTCCCGCCTCCGGGGCCCGGCTGCCGCGCCCCGGACTCTGACAGCTGAGGCTAATGCGGACCACCGGCCGCGGGCGCCGGGCTCCCCGGCTTCCGCGTCTCCCTAAGTCCCGGAACCCCGCGAGCGGAGGGCAGCGGGCCGCGGAGCCGAGCTGGGCGGTGTTGGAGCAGCCGCCGCCGGCCTCGGCCCCCGCCCCGGACCCCGCACACAGATCACGGTGACGCTCGTCCCGGCGACCCCTCCCCGCCCGGACCCCGCCTACCGGGCCTCTCCGGAGACCGCTCCCGCCGCGCCCCCGCGCCGCGGGCCGGGCCGGCCGTTGCGCCGTTGTGCGGGGCCGGTGACGCGGACCCTACGTCGTCCCGGGAGCGGAGCGGCGGAGCAGAGCCGCCGCCCTCGGGCCGCGAGGCGCGGGCAGCGACCCCGGCCCGGCCCGGGCTCCCGCCTCGCCTCCGCGGCCCGAGCCTGCGGCCGCGCGCACGAGCCGTGGCGCCATCTGTGTGCGTGCTTGTGCGTAATTATGTGCGCGGGGTTCGGGAAAACGGGGTTGGGGCCGCACTGCGCTCCCCCACAGACGCAGAGCCCAATTTCAGAGGCACCGGGCTCCGGTGGCCCCGTCCTCCCGGGGCGCTCGTCCCGCCGCCGGGCGCGGCCTCCGCGGAGGGCGCCGCGCAGCCGCCGGGAACCGCGCGCCCCAGACCCGCGTCTGCGAGGGCGGGGGCGCACAGGGGCAGCGGGGAGTGTCGGGGGTGGGGGCCGCCCGGGGATCACAGGGGGCGAGGGCCCGCGGGGGTGCCAGGCGAGGCCGTTCGGAAGTGGAGAGGAACGAATTGGGCCCGTGCGGC